CTAACTCCAGTAAGATTAGCCCATATCACAAAATCCCCAAACCAGAGATGTTGGCATGGATGTGGAAAAAAGGGAACACTTCTACACTGCTGGTGGGAATGCAAACTAATACGTTCCTTTTGGAAAGATGTCTGGAGAACACCTAGAGAGCTAAAAACAGACCTGCCATTTTGATCCTACAATTCCTCTACTAGGTATATATCCAGAAGATCAATATCTCATTTTTAATCAAACTTATACATGCATACATATATGGATACCCTACATGCCTGCATACAGGGAGACTTCCAAATCTGTCCATCATAAATATCATGCATTTGTATTTGAAATTCACCAAGTCACATACCTGACAAGGGACTTGAAATACTAATTTAGTAGTTTCCGAGGCTAAGAATTCAGTTTCAAGTACTACACTGTCACTGTAACAAGCCTTTCAAACACCACTTTAAAAATAATTTTATAATTTATATAAATGAGTACTTGTTGATTTTTCAATGGTATCCTCATATAGATTCAAAAGTGTTTTGCAACAAAAACTTTGTGACTTAGTTAAAAAACTGATAGATAATTCAAAAAGCACAACTGATTACAAAGACACAGATGTATAAGATGCAAGAAGTTTGAATACAATAATTTCATAAAATTTGAAATATAAAAAAGCAAAATTCTTAAATAATATATAACCTTACATATACATTATTTTACATATATTCAAGTTAACAAAATTCTATTTGGGATAGATTTGGCTTATAATGGGAAAATAGGAGATGATTCCATATTCAGAGTTATCAGTAAATGTGTTAGAAGAGAGATTAAAAAGAATTATACTATCAAATGCTAAAAAGTGATTATTTCGGAGTTGTTGATTTTAATTTTCACTTTTGTATTTTCAAAATTTTCTTCAATCTATGTGTTACTCTTGGGTAAAATAAAAGCAATAAGAATAAAAATATGATTTATTTTCTCAAGAGGTCTAAAACTTGTATGACACAGAATCAGAAACTTTGCTCTGAAGAGGCCAACAGAGTCTTTTCTGCAACCTTCTGCCAAACTGGAGTAATCCTACATACAACATCTGACATTAGCTAGCTTTCTTCTAACATTTCTAGGCACAGAGCTCAGTATTTTGGAAACATACTGTTCCACTGTTAAACAACTGAGAATTTCTTTATTGACTCACCGATAATTTTATTCCATCTCTATTTGTATCAGAGACTGAGGTCCAAACACATATAGCTCTCTAATTTTCTGCCACTATTTTCAATTTTGCAATTTGAAGACAGAATATATATTTACTCCTTTCTTTCTAAGATAGTCCTGAAGGTATTTTAGTACCTATGATCTTCCCATTTTCTAGGTTCTACATTCAATTCTGCTTCTTTGTATATATTCTATAGCCTATCCACTAATATTCTTAAAATAGGGCAGCTAGTATCTAAAACTGCATTCCAAATTTTTTATGATTAGTTTTATATCCTCAGAATTAATAGTGCCAGGATATCTGTACACTTTTAATTTTTTATTTATTTATATTTTTGGGAGATAGAGTCTTACTGTGTTGCCCTTGGTAGAGTGCTGTGGCATCACAGCTCACAGCAAGCTCAAACTCTTGGGCTGAAGTGAGTCTCTTGCCTTAGCCTCTCAAATAGCTGGGACTACAGGC